AACCGATACAACTGCGCAGCCATATAGCCGAGACATCCATCGTTCAACGTTCAATGCCCGTCAACACAGCTGGGCTATGTCTGGACCCCGAAAAAAGTACCTATATATGCGCCTGGCTTTGAGAGGTCTCTCAGTATACTGCGATCCCTATCCTACTCTCCGTGGCAAGCAATATTTGTCATGTTAATGACGATCAAGGAATCAACGCAACGTCCTCCAGGACAACAGCAGTTCTGGTGGTCAAACGCTATAGTCTTCGTCGGCACTCACATCGCCGCTTGCGCAGGCGTTTATTACCAGCCACTTTCTTCGACTCCTAAAGCGACCCTCGTACTTTCTGTTGTCCTCTGGCAAGCTGCTTGCCTCGGGTATGTGGGACTCTGTCGTAGCATACAGTCGCCTGGCTCACGAAACGCAGAATAACGATTGGATACCATAGACTGTATTCGCACAGGTCGTTCGAGGCTGGAGTGAAGACGCGAGCGTTATTGGCACTGCTGGGTTCCAGCGCGGCCCAGGGGTCTATCAAGGTGCGTTGCCCGTTCTCTGCCAGTTGATACACCCCTCTGATTGCCCGGCAGTGGTGGTACGTGGTATTAGTACTGTACCTCAGCTGTTCGTATCTAACTATCTTTCAGGGTTATGAGGCACCGGCTGCACCATGTATAGTTTTTTTTTTTTTTTCCCGTTCATTACTTGCCTTTACTCACAAACAGCCAGCGCTATACAGACGACCCTGTTCACGACCCGTGAGTAGCTCTACCGGAGGAAACTTTGTACCATCTAACAGGCATGCAGGTACTCGGCCACACGTGGACTACTCTGGTCCCACATGGGATGGATCTTCTACAAGCAGCGCTACGAGCGAATGAGCCTGGTTGACAAGGACGACCTTGACGAAGACCTTGGTAAGTTCATCATTTTAGCTTTAATTGGTGCCAGAGGGCCGATCGGGAACCAGTGGTCCGTCTCCAGCACAGGTACTACGGTGAGAAAGCATTCATATATACATGTATGCGTGATTTCTGAGCTCCTAGTTTAGTTTCCACGGCCCTGTTCACGGCGATACTAGTCCCCACGATCATTGGGAGCTTCTGGCATGACGCTATTGGGGCATTTATATGGGCAGGTTTGGTGTCCAGGCTCGTTGGTAGGTATCCTGTTATATATAATTGATCAAGCAAGCTGATGCTACGTTCCGTAATAGTGTGGCACTGCACATTTCTCGTTAACTCGTAGGCGGAACATCGAAACCTGGTGCTATCTGGCGCTGACACTGTAATCACAGGCTGGCGCATTGGGACGGCCTACAACCATATTCTGACGAGAATACATCAAGACTTAACTTGGTAAGGTCACTCATGGAGCCGCACCCTCTATCTCACATTCGACAGATTGTTGCGTTGCTGACATGTGGCGAAGGGAACCACAATTTTGTAAGTCCCGTATTCTGTTTGTGCGTTGCGTCATGCTGATCTTCCCATGGTTCAGCATGCGAGTCCGAGTGCTTTTCCATTTTTAGCCTCATCTAACCTTCCGCTTTCAGCACTCGTTTCCCCAGGACTTTCGCGCGGGTCCCTCCGCATACGACTGGGATCCGTCTAAGTGGGTTATCCTCGCTCTTCATCGACTGGGGCTCGTCAAGGGGCTACGGAAAGCGCGGGATAAGGATCTTTCCCACGCACGCTGGCGCATGCATGTCAAGACTCAGGTGGCGACGCCAGATGTCCTCATAGCTCCAAACTCGTCTGAGTCTCAGACAGCGCCGATGTCAATTTCTGATGTCTGCGTTTACGTTGAACGCGCGGAGGGCCGGTGTATTCTGCTTATAGACGATATGGTGATAGACGCAACTGCATACACAATCGATCACGTACGTGTGTTCCTCTCTCGTCGCGCTATGTCTGTCTCATTTATATGCTGGTAGCCTGGAGGCGCCGCTTTGTTGCGCAAGTATGCCATCAAGCCCGAAGTCATCCTTGAGGATAACCTAGAAGATCACATTAAGGAGCTTCGTCAGAACGCTACAGCAGCCTTCCATGGCGGCATGAACAAGCATACTCTTGCCGCTCGAGATAGGCTGCGGGAGTTAGCTATTGCACGCTTAGTTGGCCACTAAGGCTGCATTGTTGCTTCTCGCTGTTTGCCTTGATTTCCGCACTGTCGCACAGGATTTTTCTGTTATGCTCCCTCTTTCGGCACAGTTCAACTTTTCGGACGCTCACTTCCCCACCGTAAGCGTGGATAGAACTGCATATTTATTCGAAGATATCTGTAACTTATCGTCCTTTCCACATGTAGAAGTTTTTGTGACACACGTATGAATGTCTTACATAATTGTCAGTAACTCGTCGCCATATTTAACTGAGTTGTGCGCACTAAGCCGCTGCGTTGCCAGAAGGCACGGTTCCGGGTGCACGGAGTCTCACTTCTCATCATGACATCAAGAGTGGTACTCTTGCACCTGACAAGTCGTGTGTCTGACACTAGCGAATATGTCTATACTGCCATCAAGCTGTTCATGTCGGCCTTTTCTCTTAGCGATGATCGCTTGCTGCTAGAGGCACGGAGGCGCAGATCCAGGGCATCCGCGACCAGTCACGATGTGACAGAGCACGTGATCCACGCGTATAGCACTGCATTTGTGCGCGACATGTTCCGCGGAGTGTCCCATTATAATACGAGTCTCCGGGGATGCACAAGCTGCAGTTTCCGAGACTTCACTGCCAAATATTACAGGCGCTTACCTCGTGATGCAGATGCCCCTTACACCGGTTTAACGGAGGCGAACCGAAGCCCTCTGATCCGGCACGGGCTGACACGACACAGGCCCAGGAATCTTAAGATCTACTTTCCCAACGGTCTCAATACAAAAGACGGCCAGTTCCACGTCCTGTGGCCCACCATGCTGCTTAACTACTGACCACGATGTCTAATGAGACCCGCTCGACGCTCATTGAGTTCGCGCCCTCCGTGCCCATCTCATTTCCTCTCCGCATCTTCTCAGCCCTGCGAGCTCTCATCTGGGTCACGCTCATCAACGACAGCCCGCTGACATGGTGGTGCCAACAGGGGAGGAGGAACGAGCGGGCGGACATGGAAGGTACGCAGACTACGTGGCCCGCTGGCTCATGGTGCTGATGTGCCTGCAGGCCCAGTGTATGTCCCTGGTGCTCCTGACCGCATGTTGGAGCCAGGTAAGGCAGTTTTGGCCACCGTAGACGAGCTGAAAAGTACGTCGCCTGCACGCCCATAATCACTACTCACCCGCACCCCCTGACACGAGCTCCTGCGCAGAATTCAAGCCGTTCCTGCTGCAGGTGATAGTCCGCACGCCACATGGAGACCCGCTGCCGCACGCGACGATCGACTTCTGGCAGGCGACGAGCGCAGGCGAGTATGCGTACCGGTCGTACGCGCTCCGCGGGCGACTCACGACGGGCGCGGACGGCAGCGTTGAGGTGCTGACCATCTCGCCGGGCGACTACGGCGCCGGCGCCGCCCTGCGCACAGGACATTTCCACATGATGTTGCAGGACGCCGAGGGCCGACGCGAACAGCTCACGACGCAGCTGTACGTCTGCCAAGCGAACAACGTGAAGGGCATGAACAAAGACTTGTGCGTGACCTCTGCTGGGCTTTGCTCGCCGTGGTACTGACGGAAGTGGCGCGTCTAGCCTGAACTACTTCCGCAAGAGCCGTCCACAGAATATGCTTCGCGCGTGGTCGATCCCGGAGAATAATGGCGGCAAGGCATTCAACGAGTTCCCAAAGCTGCCTTCAGACGATATCGAGAGTCTGAAGCGCATCGAGTGGTGGAATGCTAGGCTTGCCGAGCAGGGTGCGGGAATTAAGATCGTCGCCGGTGGGCGGACGGAGATTAAGTTGAATGAGAAGCCGGGATGGCTTGGCTTCTGAACTAGTGGTCTTGGTACGGCGGAATGCTATTTATCTCCACTCGTGGCAGGTTCTCTTGTGTTTCGCTGAATTTTTCTCTCATTTGAGGCTCGAGTGCATTGGGCTTTCGTGTTTCTGATTTTGCAAAGTGAAACGGCTGCGTCAAGTCTGTAAAACCGGCGACTTTGGCCTACAATCCGAAGATTCTTTGATTGGCTATTGCTGAATAACAGCGGCGGTGCCTGGCGGTGCGTGTATGATCAGTCACACGCATACAGAGTTTAATCCCCGGGCACTGTGCAGTCTCCGAGTCGGCGCTCAGTGATGATTGAGCTGCACGGGCTACTGATTAGTATGTCTCGGGTGACATCGGCCTCCGCAGCCACATTGCAGACTCACCCACATGCGTCGCCTCTCCAGGGTCGACGCAGTACTGAAGGTCGTACTCGGACACCAGAGGCTTCTCTGCATGGACCATTGAAGGAATACCGCCGAAGCAGGTGGCGAGATTGAAGGTTCGGATGACATGTTATCATGCTTGCCGCTTATCAGCTTGTAAAGTTATTGATTGAACGCACGCTTGATGTGCACCAGTTTGGGCTTGCTCGCGTCCGCGAATGACTGCTCAACGAACATTTGAGTTCAGTTGCCGACGGCAATATTTTCCGTGTCTTGAACGTATGCATTTACTCATTTCCTCTTTTAAGATTGGGCGTCTTTCGCGCCATCCCGGGGAATCACTGCCAACTTCTACAAACACCACACTAGTACACATCGTCCGCGGCCGGCCCATAAATCTCCCCAAAGGAAGTCACATTTACACTATGTTATCGGTGATGACTGCGGTCAACACTTCGCCGTCGAAAACGACTTTGTCGAGATCCACGAACAGCGCAGTGGCGTCAGTGAAAATGTAGTCCGCGACGAGCCACTCCGCAACCTGCTGGCAGAGCGTCGAGCCACTCACTTCCTTTATCGCGTTCTTGCTCGTGGTGAGGTTCGCGACGGTCACGACACCTGTAGAGGTAGTCGTCGCGTTCACGGAGAGGCACACGACGTCTGAGTCGATGGCGTGAATCTCGATATACAAAAGATCTCTTGTCCCTGAGGGAACCATTGGTACCAGGCTGCGGCACACCGCGCTCTGAATCGGTTTACCGGGCGAGAAAAACAGGGAGCGATACTGGCCATTGAGGGAGGCTCGTTCCAGCTCGTAAGGGCGTTCCGACGGCCCCTCTTAATCCCATGCTAAGGGTTTGGGGGTTTGACAGTTTTTAGTATCACTATATTACCGCCGTGAGCAAGCCCTGAGGGCGGAGGCCTGAGTTCACCTGCACGACAAAGCTCTCTTCTAGAGTGCGCGGAAGCCCGTGGATATTATCAAATATTTCTCAATGTATTACCGGGAAGACGTCTTTCAGCATCCGCTGACATGACGGACATTCTGCCAGTGACGCCTGGATTTCGCCCAAAAAAATCAGAGAGCTATTTGGCCGCTGCCTCAGCCTATGCCCGCAGCAGCCAATCTGATGCGCTGGCACGTTGAAGCCAGCCCGGGTCGATCGTCTTCAACAGTAGTGTATTTATCAATATCCTACCTATGCCCATGTTTGTCATCTCGTCGCCGGCGGTTTTGCTGGATAATTCGATCGCCGAAGGCCCTTGCGATTCTAAATTCTATGGTGAATTTTGTATATCAAAAGTCGGGTGGCGTGAGACTCGGCTTGCCACTGGCGCAGGCACCTCATTGACTCGATAAGTCTCCGGCTTAGAATAGCTACATCGTGAATTGCAATTATGCCTATGCCGCACCCGGCAGCTACTGCGTATCTTTCTACTCCTAGCTTGCTGTGGTCTATGGGCGTCATGAAGCAGATACAATTGGCAGGGCTTGTAACCGTGTTCAACACGAGACTCCAGCTAGCGCTACCGCCCGCCACTCGCGCCGCCCACCCCCGAATCCCCTATCTCTTTCTCCAAAATGTTGAGACAAAGGATCTCTTTGTGCCATTGTTACTTGTTGTCGCGGATTTTGATTCTTTTGCATGAAGTGGCCGACTTGCCCGAGAACGGAAGAGATGTTGTTGTATCTGAGGCGCCGGCCCGAGAGAGGCGGTCTGAATATGGAAAACAATGTTGCTTTCCAAAGCGTGCTTCGGTGGCCTCAAACTTGTCAGCCTCTCTGCCAAAGTATATATACCGTAGCTCTTGTTCGAAAGTAGTCCGAACCATCTTTCTTTCGTTCTTCCACCCTCTTTTCGCCCTCAAGCTCGTCTCTGCCTTCAGTGCTGCTGGCCGTACAGCCCTTTATCATTATTCGTAACGTTATAGGCTAGTACTCCAGTTGTACCAGTAACTATGTAAGCTTTTCCCCACGCCTTTTTTTCTTCAAGCGTCTGACGCAACGCGTGATCCATAGGCTCGCGAAGCTCTGCGAGGTTGCCCAAACGCTCGGAGACATCTCCTACGGCTCACAAGACTACGTTGAGGTCAATTTTCCCTCACATCCGCCACTCCGCCGCTACCGACTCTCGCACGGTTGTTTTGAATGTGTCTGCACGCGGAAATTCGAATATGCCCGGGACTGCCACGTGCGTACTACCACCCTTCCTTTGTCCCACGACAGCCATCTAAACGCTGCCGTTTTCAGCGGCATATCATGGAGGAATGTTCCCGTTACGACAAGTATCGTGACTCTGCTCCTCGTTCGGTCGACGCCACCGCTGCGCGTCGACGCGTAGTTCGCAAAGGTCAGCTGCACGAGACGTTCACCCGCGCGAAGGCTCATCGTCAGTCTTGCACACCAGAACGGCAGGCCCAGAGCCAAACCGTGCTGTTCATCGACCCCCAACAGCGCAGGACGCTTGAGTCGGTGCGACAATGTCGCGCCCATTCTCACGTTTCTCCGTCTGACGTGCCGTCAGCCGAGCGTAAGCTTCTGCTTGGTGCGAAGACTCTGATGCGAAGCCGAGACGTGTCGGAGGACCGTGAAGACATGGACATATCCTCGGACTCCGAAGACGTTTTCCCCCAGCCTGTCAGATGCACTACCCCTGCCAAAGCGTCGACGCGCGACGTGACGCCCGCCCTGTCCTTCGTGAGCAGCGACGCAGAGACAGAGAGCACCGCCCTCGACGATTACGGCGATTGGCAACAGCCCAGCCCAGATGAGAAGTGCTACGATTCCGCGTTGCGCGCAGAATTCGTCCGGAACAGCTCAACTGCATCGCAGGCCGTCTGTATCGCTCCTGCGGAGAGCCAATCACTCTTCTACGGATCACAAGACTCCTCGCTGGATTTGCAAAAGACGCCACTGTTTTCTCCGTCGCCGATGTTCGAAGCGATGGAAAAAACCACCACTCTCGCTTTCGAACTGCAGTACCCGGAGGAAGACGTGTGTCCCGTCCGCCGTTTCCTCGATAGCCTGTGTCGGCCTGTCGGCCACCGGTACGCGACTTTCTATGCGCTCGGGATCCGCTCGCGTGAAGACATCCGCGCGCTTTCGACTATGCCACATGAGTGGGACACCGTACAAGCAGAGCTGCTGAAGAAGGACGTCACATTGATGGAGTGGTTGTACGTCAAGGCCGGCCTTGAGAAGATATGCCGGGAAGAGCTGGGTGCCCTCCAGCCCAAACTTGAATGCGAGGGCTAAGCCCGCCTAGGGCCTGCCCATTCTGAACGACGCGAGCCCAGCTGTGGTTCACAACCTACAATGCTGCCTCATGATTCCATCCAACACTCTACTTTGCAGTGCATATGACATCCTACATTTGCATAAATTTGTATTATATCCATTCTGCATCAGTACTAACCGCATTCGACCGTAGTTTATGATTCACCTAATATCCGCTTCCAACTGCAACGCATTGCCTCGGCTTCCACGCATTCTTATACACCTCTACTATCTCCCTGTCCAGCTTCTCCCACTTCTGAAGCCGGTCGATGGGTTTGATGTCCAAGTCGATGACGGAAATTGAGCCTCTGCCATCTTCAGGTATTCTGAACATGATTGAACAGTCCTTGAATGTCGCAGACAGCAGGTAGGCAAGGCAGTAGTATTTCAAGTCTGCGATATCTGGATGGTCGTGGTCCATCTGTGAATTCTTAGCTAAATATATCCCGAGGAACTGTTTCCAGTCGTCAATTGTTGGATCAGAAAGACCCGAGCCTAACGGTGGCGCGGAAGGCGCGCCGTCATCGGGAGATTGTGTCTGGAGGGGTTCTCGCGATGGGTTTGCACGAGACCACAGTAATGAGAGACCCTCGATATCAAGCGGGTCAAGGGTGCTCTGGAGGTTTGAGAGTATACGAAGTAGGGAAGTTTCTAGGAGTAATGGCAGGACTTGGGACACAAATGCATCGCGCACGGTGAACAGAGTGAACTCATCCGGTAAACCCAGCTGCGAGGCAAGTGGTTGAATTGACAACGGCTGCGTATAAATATTAAAACGGGGCCAGGCACACACGCGAAGCACTCACACTCGCGTCCGGTCTCACCGTCTGTCCCTGAACGAATATCCGCAAGCTGTTCGCCATGCCCGAGGTGCTGACCCACGCATCCCAGAGCGCATGCAGTGCCTGCCGCACACGCACCTCCTCGCCTGAGAATAGGTCGAGCGGGCAGTACGCCTGTGCCACATCCGCGTCGAGCACGCCCCTCGTGTGAGCGTGCATGCAGAAGCGGCATGTCGTCGTCTTCACGGAGGCCGTGTCCGGCGCGAGGTGTGTCGGTGACGGAAGGAAGCCCCACTTCGGCTTGGACGGGCCCTCGCGTGAGGGGGGTGGGGGGTGCGGAAGGGGCTAGGGAGGCGCACCTTGATCTCGACAGTGAAGACCCGCCCATCGACAAGGTCCCTCGTGAGCACCGCGCGCCGCTTGTGCACGTCAATCGCACCTTTGGCCCTCCGCTCCGTAGGCCTCCGCTCCTCCGTGAGCGCCGCCAGCTCTTCCAGCCACGCGTGAGAGACTTCGACGGCCTCGAGCCGCAGGAGATACTCCGCGGGAAGCACTCGCGCGACGACCTCACGTTGAAAAGCGATTGCGGGGTCTTCGGGGTCTTCGACTTGCAGAGTGAGAGACGAAGGAGACACTAAACGAGATGGGGAGGAGAGGAGAGCCTTGCGCAGCCGCAAGGCCATATCATCGAAGGATGGGTGTGGGGGACCTGTATATGAGAAGACGATGGAGGAGCCGCCTTCGGCGATATACTTCCAGTTGCGCGGGGAAGTCGCTCGAATGTCAAGCAGACTCGTCATCGCTGCAGGTAATAAGTCACGAATGCTGGCAATAGAAGGGACGCTGCAGAACAGCGTAAAGTGGACGGCGCATGAACTCAGACGTCCGTTTACAGGGCGGTGGCGCCCGGCCACTGATCCCCCAAGTGTACTCGCTACATGAGGCGAGCGTAGTATGCGAACCGCCGTCGCCCAACGTGTTCGCACTAGGCTCGCCTGCGTCGAACGCGAAGCTCGGCATCTTCGACACTTCCTTGGTACTGACATGGCGCGACTCGGAGAGATTCCCATCTCACTCTAAAACCTGTCTCTGTGTCCTGCGTCGACTCCTTGCCAGTGCCCTCTGACGCGGCTTCGTGTATGATCTTACTGACATCCCGTTTGCTTTGTATACTTCGCGTTCGCGCACCTTTCGTACCTTGCCCCACGTCGTTCGGACACCACAGTGTGTAGACGTTCATAATGCATTGTGTCTGCGAGCCTACACGGCCGCGACTTTACACGGAGGAGACGAGATGCTCGATCACCCTACCTGGGCACACGACTGATGCAATTGAATTGATGCATATGCGATTCAAGTGGGACAAGGCTGGTAATGGAGAGCACAGCGTGAATAATGTGGCATATGCGTGTACAACAGCGGGATTTGAAGTGGCTAAGGCCCTCAAGAATACCACAGGTGAGCACCGCCGAGTGGATTTCCAGCAAGCTCAGATACACCCCGATGACTACGCAGCAGGCCGCTAAGAAAGCGAGGATGGTGAACGGCTGAAGAACAGCAAGGACAGCGGCTCCGCAAAAATGGATAGCCATTCAGGTGCAGGTGGCGAAACAACAGTGGGAGAACAGCCGCGCGAAACCAGGAGGGACCCACCTCATCTCGTCGCGTACAAGCAAATAACCTTGTCGCGAAGGACTTGACCGCTTGCAACCATAAGCAACTCCTCTCAATTTAAGTGGAACCGAACTGGGGCCAGACATTGATTCTCACCGCGATGGAAGGATATGAGGCCAAGCCGTGGATCGACTCATCGTCCATACCGGAGTGCGGTCATATAGCGAGAAGAATCTAACGTTAGTGCGTTCGTGGGAGATGTGTGAATTCAAGTTAGCATTACACGTCAGACGCATGAAGGTCAAGATAACATGCGGAGAGAGGAGTCCGAGGGTAAGGTAATCAAACAGCGTCTTGTAGTAGTTTCTTTCGCTGCTCCAAGCCCTGCTTAACAGCTAGCCAACCCGCGAGCCGCCCCTGCTTGAGGATATCCTTCTGCATGTCATCCCAGTTGCCTTCGACAGGCGTCATGCAGAGCATGTCGAGCGTCTCCGTGGACAGAAGCCGTACTGAATGAACACAGGGGCAAGGTGCTGCAGCGGCACACGTATGGTCCTAAAAAACTCTACAAGAGCGGGTGCCTGAAATGCTGTCAATTCTGGTGAGAATTCTTCAGCTGCCAGGGAAGGCTGTTGTGAAGGAGCGGCCGAGGAGCTCGGCTCAGCGGCCAATAAGTCCAACGGAGTTGAGCGCCGAGTCGTCACAAATGGCAGCTTGGCAAGAACCACTGAGGGTGTTTTGGGGTCCGTTCGCCCTGGCGATTCGAATCGAGGCTTCTTCGCGGTCACCTTCCGCTGGAGTTCCAGAGTCGCTGACGACGATGAAGTAGCACACTGAAGATACGATGATTGGACCGCCTCGGTCTCCGTCGGAGGGTGGGATGGCTTGTCTGTCTCAGTAGACATGTTGTGCTGTGGTAGGGGCGGTGATATAACAGCGCCTGCAGATGGAATGGCTGGTAAGACGTCTGTGATCGGCGAGGAGTCTGTTTTTCTCGAGACTCTTGGTGATCTGGCATGTGCCCGGTCCACGATGGCGGCGAGATCCGACTCTGAAATACCCGCGATGTTGACGACTGGTGAAGAGGACGATAGGTGAGTAAGCAAGCACGAAGACATGAACTATTTAGCGCACTGTTTACTTCGTCTTTGTCTTCGCTGCCGAGGACCATATTTTCTTGGATAAGCGATTCAGAGAAGAATTAATGCGCACAGTGAGGCATGTCCAAACCTGTTGCGTCCTCTTGGCCATCTAGAAGGGACACGGTCAGCAACTTAACGAACAAAAGGGAATTATGATCTTACCCGTCATTTTATTCTTCTCCGCCGCCGCTTGCGATACTAACTTCTTATGCGTCATGCGCTCGTACTCCTTGCAGTTCCCCTCTCTAGCATGGTCCTAGGCTCGAGATGAATGCGTATACACTGTGGATGAATATGTACTGAATCTTCCTGCACGAACCAGTCCATACTTGCGCGCACCTTGGGCAGCACCAACGGCCATCTTCGGTACGCTCTATGCGGATCTTTCTGCGTTCGCCTTTGAATACGATGGAGCAACTGTCTTGGTGCACTTGCTTGTAATGTTCACTCAGCGTCAGATCTGTGATTTGGCCACATTTTGCACAGTTGTACCTCGAATGGACATGAGAATACAGCTCCATGCGAAAAGAACGAGCTACCACGCACCTTGCGTTCGAGTTCAACTTGGGCATGGTGCAGAGTGATGGTCAAAGAGACCGCAGTCCAGCGCCATCAGAGTAATTTATATCCTCATCGACACGCCCGCTGACCCTGGCGGTGGCGAGAAAAGCTAGGCTATGTACGGAGGTTTCCGCGCTGGGTTAGGACTCTGGTGACGACGGATCATATATCATGTGAGCACATAGAATGATGATGAACCACACTCGAGGAAAGAAGCATGACGCAGGTGCAACGAATAGAGACCGCGTATAGTATATACAAAGCAAACAAAACCTACGAGGGACATGATAACAGAACGCCACTATAAGACAGAAAATAATGCGACCGAGATGATTTTCGCCCACGCGAATTGCAATTGCCAGCCTATTGAACAGCAGACGACCTGTAAGTCAGCTTCGGCAAGCCTATGAGACCCAGATATGTGTCGCTACCTCAGACTTCAACCCAGCGCATTGCTCGCGATCGTGCCCGCTCTTCCAGCCCTTTCTGGACAGCAAGCCACCCAGCAAGACGACCCTCCTCCAGAATCTCCGTCTTGATGCCCTCCAGTTCGCGCGGCGGGGCTTCGCAGAGCAGGTCGAGCGCATCGTCCGTGGTCATGCGCTGCCTTATGAAGATGGGTGCCAGGTGCTCTGACGGAACTCGAAGTGTAGCGAAGAACGCTTTCAGCGCAGGAGGGAGAGACGGCTCGGGAACGTGGCGGTGAGCAGCCGTGCTAGCAGAATGCTGATACGATTTAGAAGGTAGATAACTTGTGGATGAAGATGAAGATGTAGCAGCAGCGGAACCCGCGGGAGTTGAGCCAGAACGCTGAACAGAATCGTGCCCGCTGGAGTCCTCAACGTACGCATTACCCGGAATTGAACCATATGATGGCTGTAAGCTCGCCCACTGAGCTGTCGACGGCGGACGTGGGGTATTCAAGCTAGATGTTGTGGTCCCGGATCGGGGCATGCCGATGCTGTGGTCGAAAACAGGTTTCTTCTCCTCTTCCTCCGTTACTGTTGACCATCGCTCTGGAGTAATAGTGTCCCGGCCGGGAGGAAATGAGTCATTGTTCGTATTAAGTTGCTCCTGCTTTACCATGGCGAAGCTGGGCTGCAACAGCCCTCTTTCCCAGTCGGGTCCCATGTCTGAATCCACTGTGGGCGTAATGTCAGCAGAATATGTGCAACCTCGCATACTGGACAAACATTTTATCTCTACATCTTGGACATCTCGCGCCTCCTCATCCAATAGATGCTTGATAAAAGCTTCTGCAAACAGCAACGATGAGTCAATATGAGGTGAGAAGTGGCGGTGGCTTACCCTCGTCATCCAGCTCGTTGATATAATTACCTAGGATATCATCGTGAGGTATAACTGCATCCACTACCTTCACAGTGAGCGACGAGAGTACGAATGCAATGAGGTTGCCTGCCTTCTACGAATTCTCCATCTAGGGCGTCGACATCCTCATTCTGTTCAACTTCTTCCGGCCGATATTGCATTTCTTCATCGTGTTCTAGCTGCGGTTCGGGCTCTTCATAATTATGCTGTGGCTGGTGAACACCTTCGAGAACATCGAGACATTCTCCTTTGAGTCCGTGTGCCTTGAAGCTCCTCATCAATCGAAGCGCAAACGGAAAAAAATAAAAATTGGACAAATGCAACGCACCTGAAGCTTTCTCGGTGTACCCTCGAACCCCGTTCTACACTTTGGACAGCGCCATAAGCCGTCGGCGTCGCGTCGACACGTAACTCGGCCTGGCTCTCCCTTGAAGTGAACGGTGCATTCCTTCTGGTGTACCTTCTTGTGATGCTCCTTCAGCGAGATGCGTTCCCACTTTCCACACGTCGCGCAAATATATCTGGCGTCCACAATCAGTCAACTTCTGCAGGTGCAGTACAACCACTCACTTAGATCCCTTGGGCATTTTGAGACTCAAGGAACGTGCAGGCAGCAGGAAGAGTGACCATCATCAACTGTCGTGCATTTAGGTCAGATGCATGCAAGTTTTTCCCAATAAAGGGCGTTCGTTTGAGCTCTTGATGCTTCCCACGGTAAAATCGCAGCGGGTATAAAAGTCAGCAACCATCCGTTCATTTCATGTTGACTACACAGAGTTGCAGAGAATTAAACGGCATTCATTCCGAGTATCTTCAGACAAAGCCGAGGTGGTGGCATTCGACAAGGCTGCTGCCGACCCGGGTCTGCGTTTTTGCCGCCTCGCAGCGCTTGCGCCACGGAAAGCAAACGCCTGCGCTTTGACGCACGCAAAATCCAACGGAAAGCCACGGCCAGTCAACCTCATTCCTACCGCAGCCCCTACGTGCCTCTACAACCGCTTCGACATGTCAGTATCTCAAGCATATTCTACGAGAACTGTTTGATCAATGATCTCTCCCATTTTTGCAAACGTAGGACCGACAACTGGCATTGTCAGAAGTGTAACGCCTCCGTAGCTGGAACTTCAGTCCGCTATCATTACCGGGCTGTTCATCAACCGACATCCTTCATTCGTCTCCCTGGATCTGCGGCGAAGCTGAGAGTTGACAGAGACCCACGTACAGGTCGCTTCAAATGCCCGAGGATAGGCTGCTCGGTGTCGACGGAGCTAGCACAGGAAATGCAGGTATGTCTGCGTTGGTGGCGGGTTTGTTGATGTGGCAACGGGAATCCCTGCTCTGTACTACAACAGATACACTCGCGAAACTGCACAAAGCCATTAGACGTCTACCGAGAAGAGTCTGGGCCAAGGAAGCGTACATTGTCTGCCTCGCAAAGCGCGTTTGAACCTCGCAAGGCTGCTAACCGTTCCACCAATGGCCCGACTTCCGCCTCAGCGAGACGCAGCGCGAAGAACACTCCGGCGAGGCCAGAAATCGAAATGTCTTTGTCTGCTTTCAGTTTCTTTCCAGCACGAGCCCTCCGTGGCCACACGTACGCCACGCCCCTGTCATCAGCTTTGACATGCAGCTCACTTGCCTCTCAGAGCCCTGTTGGAGCAGACCACAAGAACACAGCGAGCGCTCATTCGCCACTGTTTTCAAGGCCAAATGATGATGGTGTCTGAGATTGCGGAGTGGGTCGGCGTTGACCGCGACATGGTGTGGTCGGTCGTGAGAAACGAGGACAACGACAACCTAAATGAGGACCGGCTCTACCTGGACGGCAGGGAGGGTGAAATCATCAATGTCGATGCTCTAAAACATATCCCACTGTTTGTGAAGAGCGAGCCCGTGGACGATATTCAATGGCCCAAGGGTAGCGTCAGCGAAGACGAGTACGACTCGGAGGAAGAAATTGAAATGCAATGTGCGTTCAGTCATTCGGTCTCGGATGCTTGAGACTTATCGCGGACTTAGACATCTTGACCTCGCCGGAAGTCGCTCCCCGTCGTCAACGTCGGATGTCAGACGGGAGCATCGGCTCCATGTCTTCGCTCACTTCACTAGGAGACGAAGATGCGCCAGGAGACCCAGAACATCTAGTGAGTTTACTTCTGACTCTTGCGCTCCATCTGCTCATGATACGCCCACTACCATAGTTCGAGGATGTTGACGACGCTACCCCCGAGCCCGAGCCATCACCTAGCTCCGTCTCGCCGCCCGTCTCGTCGACGGCCTACAGCAATACCGTCTCATATTCACCGCTCACCGCGCGCGCAAAGTCTGAAGATACCGTCGAAGCCTTTGTGCGCAGCCTTGGAGGGCCCTCAGAGCAGCTCCTCGAGGTCTTCTACGATATAGAGCTTGACAGCGCGGAGCGTCTCGACTGGCTCTGTCGTCAGCAGGAAGACTACTGGAACGACGTCAAGGACTATATGCTCCATAAGGGCGTGAAGCTCTTTCACTGGCTTGTGGTCAAGAAGGGCTTGCGCGAGAGAGCGGCGACGCTTGCTGCGTCCGCGGAGTCGAGAGAGTGATTCATGAATATGCCGAATGCTGGTATACATGTGACTTACTGTCCTTATGGTTTTTTCTTATTTTCTCTCTTCCAACTCACGTCATGATGACCAAGTAATGTGGCATCAGAAGATGGAATAATTCGCAGCGCGATCCTCGGATATTGATCCTCATGGTCATAGGAACGTCGCTGTAGCCCGAGCGATCGTAGCCAGGATCGGTCTCCTTCTTCGTGCATATCGAGGGCTGGTGAATACGTATAAGTGAAAAAGAGCTCGCGCAAACCTTATTCAATTAGCTGCTCGCTTCTCACGCCATCGCGTAAATTACCCTACGACCCGGAAGTTAACCACATGCGGTGAGCATTGGGCATGCCACGGAATAGCTGACTACAGACGTGCTTGGACTACACTTAAGGCACTATTTCCACTACAATGCAATCCTGCCCTTCAGGTATAATATAGTCGTGAAGTCTCGTACAGATGGTGTACGCAGTCCGGTGAAGCAATGCTTGGAACTCGCAGGGTGGCAGAGTTCGCCACAAAGACGGGTTAGGGTCAGGCCAATGCATACGATTGATCGTCCGAAGATACAACAAACATGATTTCGTTAAGCAGCATGCCTTTGCAGAAGCCACTTTTCCACATATTTCCTTACCGTCTCTCTGACCTCATCCACAGATTTCGGCCTTTCTACTTCCGTAAAAGTTCCGACACCGTGCGGGATGGACAGCATACTGGTTCATGCCGTTAAACTGGCTGCTTCAAAACGGACAAACGACAGTGTAGAACGAACCTCTTTTCCGTGATCTCTAAGCCTTGTGCGCCACGCATCTCTAGCGCAGCGAGATCGTCCGCCCGACTGGTGAGTATTGTCTGAGCTTCGCGAGCGAACGCGAGTGCTTCGCGCACGCCATCTTCCACCGCCATTCGCCGCTGCTGAGATTAGAGCTGTCCATGATGTAGCTTTACATGCGACGCATCATACCTCAGCTACTAGATCTTTAAGAGCCCCTATATAGATTGCAAGGAGCACACTGAAAATTTTGTTCGATACTAGTGTTTCACAATCAGCCAGAGTATACCAACGCTGATGTCACTGACGTACCGGGAATCATTAGAGTCAGGTGTCGTTCACGCGGACCACCCGTGAAGAAATTCTCATCAAAAAAAAATCGTTCCTGCAGAGGGTCATAGGAGTAGAAGGTAAACCTTGATTGGTCGGTGATGAGTCCATGTACCCGAGCGTGCAGCTTGCGTTCTTGATTTATTGTAGCCGCCGCTGCATTAAGATATTGTCAGACTATGAGACATATACAAGATTTATCAACTGACACAGCATTTCCATGAACAGATCTGCAACATTCTCTTCCTCGTTCAAAGCAAGAAGCTCGACCTCAATCACAATAAACAGCGCGCTGCCGAGTGCAAAGACCTACAGCGTGGCGCAACGTCAACGGTATGGTAGAGATGTCCTTATGAAAGATACACACTTGATGCTTAACGTCTTGTCCCGTGGTATCGTCTGTCTCAGGCAACGGTTCCTTAGGCTGATCAATTATGCGTCCGCGGAAGGGCGCAATGAGCAAGGACAAGTACTGTCAAGTATATCATTAATCCGCCTTATCTCGAGAGAACATCTCATAGGCACTTACAAGCGCAAGAACGTGAACTCGGGGTGCCGTTCGACGCTGACAGGCCCTATCCAAGTACACATCCGCCGCTCGCCACAATGCTTCAAATATGGGGACATGGAAGGAAGGAGGTAGATAGCATGTTAGGAGGCTGTGCTGTGGAAATAACTTCAAAAGGAATGCTTTCGGTAGACCATATTTTCCAGAGAAATCGTCCCATCCCGCCCTCTTCAGCTGGCGATCTGAAGTCCCGGGGTACGGCTGCAATTGCGTAGGTACGTCTGTAATTACCTCCTTGTCCTTGTCTTGAAATTCGGAAAGGTTATTGTCTTCGTTGAGCAATGAGAATGATTCGCCGGGGAATGCGACATGGTATGCCATGACGGCGAGAGGCAGACAGCGGCGACCCCTGGCCAAATGACTCCGCAGACACCTTGGATCCTGAGGCGCTAGAGCCACCACGCCTACCTGCCGGGGCTTTTCTCTGACGCTACTCCGAAATGGGGTGTGAGCTAATAATGTGCTGCGCAAGCCGTGTGACCGGAGACCGGGCTGCACAAAATGAGTAAAAAGAACCGTGAGCCGCGGTCGGCGGACAAGTCAGCGGTACGATCAAGAGAGCCTGGAGGACATAGGACGGAGGATGTGAATGCAGGGACACAGATGCAGTTTAGTGTAAGTGAGGAGCATAATAATTGCTTGTCTTATTGCTTCTCATAGGACCCAATATTTTACGGGACAGGAGAATCGGAGAATTAGAGAGGACAACGAGAAAAATATCCATGAGGACCTGGTGCGGCGGATGCGGGCTCCTGGGACTGCCTGCGGGGAGTTGGCTGTGCGGGGATGCAGCGTGCGGCGCGGGGGACGCGTCAACGGGTGTGTCATGTTGTCGATTGCAAGGTTGAGGGCAACTTGCGTAAATTATTATCGAGCATCCGCTGGCAATAGTTGTCCACAAAGCCCTTTGCAGCGTCTCTGAGGTCTTGTTCAGACTGGGGCTCGCCTTCCTCCATATAGACTAAGGTACCACGTGGTACAGATAGCACACTAATTTGCATTAATAAATTTTCAGGATAAACAAGTGTTTAATGTGCGCCAGACCTTTTTTGAAGTGTTTCATAGGCCTGCATGCTGTGCCTCTCAAGTGCCTCGATAGTTCGGCATTCTCCCTGCTTGCTGAAGCTTGTCTCGGCTGAGTGAGCGATGACGAGTACTGCTTCGTAGGTCTTCCTGTCTTCCATTGTTGTCGATTCCTGGAGTTGATTAATCAGGAGTGTTTATGATGTGGCTATGCGTGCAATCCATCGTACCCGAGCTATTAGAGCTTCAAGAACCCCTATATAGCCAACCAACAGTATACTAAATATCTTGTTCGATACTAATGCTTCAAATTCAGCTTAGGTACACTGATATTAATGGCACTCACATACCTTCAACCATTTGAATCAGGAAATGTTCACGTGAACCAGAAGTATGAATGCCTGTATCATGGAAAAATAGCTGCTTGACAGGATCATACGAATAGAAGTTGAATTCGTTGAGGTCTGTAATAAGACCGTATACCCGGATAGCAGGCACACCACGCGCTTCATTCAGCTTAGCTGCAGCTGCATTGAGAGCTACTCAGATGCCTGATCACATGTTAAGAGAGACATTCACCAACATAGCATCTCCAAAAACAGCTGTGCAGCCTTCTTGTCAAGATCTGTGTGATGCAGCTTCACCTCGATGACGAAGAACAGACCATCGTTGAGCGCGAGAATCTGTGTAGAGGTATAACGTCAGAGATAGACAGAGATGTCATGTGCAAGCTAAAAGATGCTCACCTCGTGTTCGACTGCCCCTCCTGACGTATCCTGTGTTGCCGGTAATGTCTCCTCAGGCGTATCAATAATACGCCCACGGGCGATCGCAAGAAGTGGCACTATAAACTAAAAGGCATACCGTCAGTCCATCTACACCTTGAAATGACATTTTTGAGATCCTTACCGCGTCAAGGAAGCGAACTTTGGTTGCTTCTCCACGGAAGTGATCTTGAATATACACATCTGCTGCCCGCCAAGCTCCCTCGGTGAGTTTTGGTGAGGATGGAAGGAGGCAGACAGAACTCCGGGGCACTGTAGTTTGCAAGATCTTTCGCCCTGAATATTATTGGCAGGCCGTATTTCCCGGCAAGATCTGGATACTCTGCGTGCGAAAACGACGGCGGAGATTTCTTGACCTTTTTCAGGGCGCGCTCTGTGATGCCGCAGAGCGGAAGCAGGCGGTCGATAATATCGATTTGTTGGGACCAGGACTCTGACCGGTCAAGGACCAGCACAAGTTTGTGCAGGACCGGACTAAGACCAGGTCCTGGTCCTGTGCAGTCCTCCTTGCAGTCCAAGACCAGCCATGACCGGTCTAGGACTGAATTCAGTCTAAGACCAGTTCAGACCAGTTCAGACCAGTCCTCCCCTGGTAAATATCACACAAATCAACCAATTTCAACTTAGAGTTGCATGTACAAGTGGCACCCTCAAGCTAGCTAGCGTGCATGGAAATGTTATGGATTTCAAGCCAGCAGATGGTCGGGGTACCATGCTTGGCTTCTCTGGAGTGTGAGGTGGCATCAGAGCCTATGAGCTGGGGTAGCCTGGTGATGTGCGAGTATGGTGGAGTGCTATGAGGCCTCCAGATAGCCTAATGCCACCTCCAGGGTGTCCACGCCGAGGTATTTCACAATATGCACACTGGTGGACAAACCCTCAGATAGGTATGAGATGGTC